TATTAATTCGTGGAAGATTCTCAATGTACACGTTGGCATGCGTTTAAAGTGGACATAATAATGAGTTTGATATGGTCAATAATTTTTCTGTGGTTAGGAGCAGACCGACGCAAGGTTGGACATGACTCTTGCCAACCTAGCCAAGTCTACAGGTCGAATAATTTTAAATTTTCTTTTCGACTTTTATGAAAATCTTGTCTCATGAGAGGATTTTGTTTGGATATGAACAAAATGTAAGAATATTCTTACATTGTGAATTTGGTCTACCTAATATTCACTGTCAGCTAATTTTATATATGCTGACTTGTCCACAGGAAAATGAACAAAGTTAAGGATTACCATGAATATGTTGTTATATTTATGGATACATTTCATTTATGGATCAAGCCCGAGCCTGATCTCAAGCAAGTAAAAACTTTCAATTGCTGAGGTGACAAGAGAATAGGAAATCAATTTCAATTAGGTCCCTTTTGATATGCTAAAATTTTCATGGAAAATGAAATTCAAATTCTATTTTCCATCTTTTGTCAAGTTTGATATGCAAAAATTTTCATGGAATTCTTTTTCCACAAATGCCACACACGTGCACACTTTCCATGAAATTGTTGAATTGTTTTTCCCACTTTTTGGTGAGAAAATGGAATTCCACTTTTTTTTTTTTTGGCAATAGAAACAAATTTCATAACCACATGTTAAAAAAAAATAAAAAAATTCACTTTAATGGACAATTTTTCATGTAATAAAGTCAACGAACACTAAATTTTGATGAAAAATGATTTTCTAGAAAATATTTATTTATTTATTTATTTATTTTACTTTTCGNAAAAATGATTTTCTAGAAAATATTTATTTATTTATTTATTTTACTTTTCGATAATAGAAACAAATTTTATAACCAATTGTGAAAAAAATTTTCACTTTAATGGACAATTTCCATGTAAAATAAAGTCAAACAAACACAAAAATATCCAAAATTTTAAAATTTTTCGGGTGGAAAATTATACCAATCGAACACACTTAATTAACAATTTTCTGAAAAATAAGTTCTAGACAATTACTTTCTCTGAAATTTATTTCCTTGCCATCCATTTTCCACCCTTGCAATCAAATGGACCATTTTGTTCGCCTTTCTAAAATAGATCGTAAAAAATGTGTAAAATTAAATCATACAATAATAGAGCATTCAAATAATTGATCCCGATATGGATAATCAAGTAGTCGACCTAATATTGGTCCCAACCCTAATTTTGGTCCCCGCAACATATTAATGAAATAGAAAAAACATGTACAATAAGAATAAAAAATGTTATATGATAATCAAATTCATATCTTCAGTGATATCAGCAGCATAATCAATCTCACTAAATGAAGACTTAAAAAAACAGAGGAAAATTAAACAAAAAGGAAAAGAAATACAACAAAATTAAGTTCACTTTAATACATTATATTACATAATGATCTTCTATTCACTTACTAAGTAAAAAAAACTTAGAAATTCTATAGACACACGCATTCATTTTCAGATTACAGTTGATAAAGAGTAATGCTATTTGCAGTCGCTCACTACGGTAGTCGCCCTACGTGGCATACACATGGCAAATGATTATTTGATGCATTAATGGATGCATTAATATGGTAGTTTTTTGTTGACAAATGCATCAAATAATCACCTACCATGTGTATGCCACGTAGGACGACAGCCGTAGTGAGCGACTGTAAATAGCATTACTCGTTGATAGTACATTAAGATCTAATAATTTCCTTTTTTTTTTTTCTCAAGAAATTTCACTAAGCCCAAAAGGGATTCAGATAATCTGGTCCTCTTGAAGTTGATGGAGCAGCTTTTTCTTCATAATTGGACACAATAGAGGAGTTTTCAGTGTTCACATCAGTGCTTAAAGCAGTTTCTTCTTCGGAGATAGACACCATTTCCTTGTAATTTATGAAGTTTTGATTCATGTTTGGACCAGAATTTGCCAGAACTGTTCGAAGAAATGAGGAATCTTGCATTGGAAATGAATCTGCGAACTGAATAGGAGAAAATTGTTTCCATGGAAATGCGTTAGGAACTGAAGTAGGAGGAAAAGTTCCAAGAGGATTTGAAGTCGAATGGAAAATGGAGTTGCTGAAAGAAGTAGGTAGTTCTTCTTGGCTCGGATTGGAGAAGCAGTGCACGTGACTGGATTTTGATTCATCGGGATTCACTGTACAATTATACGTCGAAGAATCCATTAGTGGTGGCAATGTTGGGGGCGAAAACTCGTTTTCAACAGAATTCATTTTCATTAGGCCAGAAATGTGTACTTTATTTCCACCGGTTGTCTTGTGAAATACCCTACAAATAACCCAGTCATTCTGGCCAGAAAAAGAAAGAAATCAAAATCAAATTTTCATTCACTACATAAATATACATAATTCAAGTTCAAAAAACAGGGGAAAAACCTTCGCTGATTTTGGCAGGTTATGAAGAGGGAATTTTTCTGCCAATCTGTACTCATGGGCAACCCAATTTGATTTTTCACCTTTGGGGGCTCTTCCCTTGTAAAAAACCAACGTTTTCTTCATTCCAACTAGAGTTTTCCCTCGGAAAATTTCTCTATCCTTTCCTGTGGCTTTCCAGTATCCTGCAGAAGTAGCTCTGTTTGTCCGCAAACCAGTGGGATATTTCTTGTCCCTCACACAGAAAAAGTACCATTCGTTTTCTCCGATTTTCGCTTTCCCTTCAATCAAGAAACAAAATCAAGAAACAGACAATAATAATAAATACAACAAATCAATATTAGAACAAATAAAGGTTCGAGATCAAGTATCAGAAACTTACATGGCAATTCCCATGGCTCAATTTTGTTCATATCCACCTCTCCAATAGCTATAGCAGAGAAATTACTATCAACAACTTTGTTCGATAAATAATGAGTAATTAATTCTTCGTCTGTAGGATGAAATCGAAACCCAGCAGGCATATCCAGTTGATCAGCGCCTTTGACAACTTCGAGATTGTTCTCCATTTCAAAAGTTTTCGAATCTTAACGAATTTTTGATTCAGAAATCTGGGTTTTCTACATATAAGCTTCAATTTTTTCGGGCTCCTAAACCCAAAAAGTTCAGTGGATTCTAGCCAAACAATTCCCACTTTCTAGAGACCACTAGAAAAAAATCCCAAATACCGAAAATAATCTACTTATAAGTGGGTCTATTCTGATCTAGAAGAAAAAGCTATGGGAAAAGAATGAAGGAAATGGAAAATATGGAGAAAAGCAGAGATAGAAGCCATGGAACTGACCTTAAAGCTGAGAGTGATAGAGAGAGAGAGAGTAAAATATTAATAATAATAACATCATGAGGTATTCAAGGCTATAAATACTTGGTGTATTTGGGTTGAAAGAAACGTGATGTGTAAGTAACTAGGGAGGATATCCATGGCTCTAATTAGTGGCGGCTCAATTGTTATACTGAATTCTGAGAAATAATTCATTGTAACAATCTTAAATGCACGAGTGATCTTCTACTCATGTCAGAACACCTTGAACCTTAAAAGCTCAAGTCACGATGTGACCTTGGACATTGAGTGAGTCACTTGAGTGGTTACTAGACGAAAATAAAGAAAATGAACAAAATAAAATCTTGTTTAGTGATAACCACCGTTGCGTACTCGTTGAGTAAATTGACGTGGAAAAAGGTTCTAAATAATTGGGACATTGTCGTTATTGAGATTTTGTCTATATGCAGTATTATCGAGTAGCATGTACCAAATATGTTAGGAAGTGATATCTAGGAGGTTGTTTTGGCCACTTTTTATTGTTGTTGAATAAATCTATTTTCTTTATATTTGACCAAATTTAGTTAATCTAAAAGACAGTTACATATTCGCATTGTTGGGTTTCAATGTAATTGGCTATTCTTTAGACAACATTGAAGTTATAAAAATTAAAAGAGTTATTTGGGAAGTTGTATATACCAATTAGGAATCTTTGAATTTGAGTATGAAATAAGGAACAAGGAGAAAAAGTAACGAAATAATGCTAGATGGCCACCCTTTAGAGTTCAAGCGCAGCCATGGAGAAATCAACAAAACCATCGCCTCCCGCCTGGCGCTAGCTCACCACTCGAGCGACAAAGTCACTGCTTGCCTGGAGCTAGCCGGCGCTTGAGCGGTGGTGCTATCAAGGGAAAATTTATTTCGCGATTTAAACAATTTTTTGAGTTCTAAATAACTCCAAACACCTTCTATTATATATACCACAAGTTATATCCCATTCATATTAATGGTTGATCATTTTATTCTTCCTAGAAAACATATTTTTGAGATCATACATGAATTCCTAACATTGAGATCAATCAACCACACTTTGGAAAAAAATCAATACAAACGATGAGTTCTTGGTGATTTACATGAGATGGACTATTTCA